TGTTGAAGTCAGAGATAAATGTTGTACGAGAAATGTTTCTCTATCAGACACTTTGTAATTAATCTAATATTTTCTGTTATATAGCAGTATCTTAGAACAGAATATCAAGATTTTTAATAATATTATCAGGTATTTGCAACACTGATTTGCATGCTTTCATTCATAAATGAAACTTCTGTTTCACATGATTCTTCAATTATTCATTGATATATTAATCTTGATTGATTAATAAACTGATGAAATCTTCATCTACACTCAGTTTCATGAGCATTTTCATTCTTCATAATGAGTAGAGAGTGAGATTGAAAGTATTAAAATATGCTGAAGCATCTAAGTATTCTTTCAGTGCTTTTATATTTGATTCTGTAGATGTTGAAATTGCATGAGTTAATTATTGAATCTCTTTGTATTGAAGTTATTGAGTTGTATGCATGTCTGCTATCTGTTACTGTTATAATTTCAACATTGCTCAGAGTTACTGTGACATCATGTCTATACTTGTGTTCAAGAGTTTCATATTATTATTAGACATGATTATATCAATTATTAGATGTATAATATCTGTGAAATCTGAAGAAGTGTAATCATATTCTCATATATCTGAGTGTCAGAACTCTCAGATCTTTCACTGACATTCTCTTATAAGATCTTTATTACAGAGTCAGAGTAACTGATAAGTAAGCTTCTATCTAAGAACTCAGTATCTACTTAACTGTGTTTCTCTTTCTTACATATTATTACATGTTCAGATATCTCTTGATGAATAATTATTTCTGATAAGAAGATAATATATGAATAATCATTTTCTAATAAGAAGATGATGAACATTTTTATAATGTAAGAGGTCTACACTGAATAGATTGATATTATATTAATAGGTCTTATATAACAAAGATAAAAATGTTAAAGAAGAAAAGAAAGAGAAAGTGTGAGAATCAGCATTCAAGATAAATATTTATACATGTATGTAATGGTGTACGCAGTGAAGCTTTGAAGTGGAAGAATATACACGCGTTTGTAGCAGCTGAGGATTGGCAATCAGAAATGACTGAGAATCGGAGTGTATATTACACACGTTCGTAGCGGCCGAGGATCAGCGATCGGGAATGAAAGAATCTATGAAGTGTAATGAAATAGTCTATATAATTGATCGGGCGCAGCTCATCACAGATTTTATTTAATCTGATCTCATACATTTCTTAGTGTGAATCCCGCTGGGACTAGTCATTAAAAAAATATGCAAAGTAACTATATATCAGATTTTAAAATGAAACCATAACTTGAAAAAAATGAGAAAGTGATCTCATTTAATCTCATTTAGTCTCATTCTTGATATAAAGTTACTATTTTTAGACATTTTAAGGTTTTCTTTAGACTATTTTTAATTTTTTAAAAAGTAATGCTTTTTGATAACACTTAAATGAGATTTAAAGTCATTTAAAGCAATAAAAATAATTTAAATTGAGAAGTGAAAATCATAATCTTATTTGAAAAATGTAATAAGAGTAGACAGTAAGTCTCACTGAGACAGTATGAGACTACTATCTAATGTTAAAACCGTGTAATGAGATCAGTTGAATTGATAATGAGACTATCAAAAAATCTGATTCTGGTTTCAGACACGGTCACACAGTCAGTCTACTATCACTATTATTATTATCATTATTATTATTATTATTATTATTATTATTATTATATTATTTCTAATCATCTCTTCTATCTTCATCTCTCTTTAATACTCACTGAAATCAATTATGTCATCTCTCTTCAAATATTCTGTGATTCTGTGAATTATCAAGACATGTGAGCACTGTCACAGATTGAAGAAAGAGAAGAAGAAGATATTTAAGTAAGAGAAGACAGATTATAGAACATGTTATAATACCTTAAAGAGACTTTATAAGAGAGTAGAATAATAATAATTTTAAGTAATACTTCTGACAGATTTAGACTGAACTAAGTATAGAAATAATACAGATGACATCACTTATAAGAGAATGAAAAAGAAGATAGTGAAGAGTTTTATATAGTAGCAGTGAGATTAGAAGAAGTTCTGAGAATAATTTAAGATTAAGATGAAGAGAGAGAGAGAGAAGAAAAGTATTACTGTAAATAAACAGTGATAGAAGAAGATTAAAAGAGTGTTAAAGTAAGAGATAAAGAAGTCAAAACTGATAAGTTTTTTATTTATTAAGAGATAATGATTTTTAATAATACTTCTATTCTCTAATTGATTAGCAGAAGCTGACAGAGAAGAAGAGAATTAAGGTCTTATTCAGGACTCAAATGCACTCTATAATTCAGAATATTGAGAAGATAGTTCTACTCTCTGAGCATGTTAATCTACTTACTACTGAGATGAAACCTGAGACAGTAGATCAGAAAATATGAGATTTTAAGATACAGATTGATCTGACTGAGAGAAAGCAGTAAGAACTCTTTTCTAAGAAGATAGTGAAGAGAGATTTTGATATAGTTATTATCTTAAATAAGAAGAAGAAGAGAAAGAAGAAGAATGAGAAGTGAATTATAAAGAATAATAAGAAGAATAAGAAAGAGAAGAAAGATAATGAGTAGAAAAAGTGTTTTTCTTTTTATATTAGTTAGTTATAAGTTCATAATTATTAATAATTGAAATTAATTTTAAGTTTTTAAAAATTATTGTATAAGTTGTAATCAAGTCAGAAATAATATATATATATATATATATTTAACTATCATGATTCACAAATCACTATAATGTATAAGTATTAACATTTTTTCAATATTGATATTTACAATATTAATATATTTTTAATAATATTATCTGATAATGTAATTTGATAACACTCTCTTTCACAATATTAATATATTTCAAGAAATATGATAGAGATTAATCAAGATTGTTTATTTACTTTTATATATCAATGATATTTAGACTGATCGTGTGACCGTGTCTGAGATCAGAATCAAACTTTACAGTTATCATGTTATCTAAAAGCATTACTTCTGATCATGATTTGTATTCATTACATTGATTTCAAATCACATTATTTTAAATATTAAAGGTCTCAGGTTCACTTTTCAAATAAAAATCTAGTCTCAGATAAAGAATATATTTAAATTCTTAGTTACATTTTCATTCTGATCTCATTATTGAAAATGATATTAAATGAGATTATAAAATCATTTCTCACTTACATAATATCATAACATAGTACTCATTTGTTGAAAATTCAATAGAAAGTATTATTAAATATTATTACTTTTCTCAACACAGATCATAATTCATATAATTTTAATTATAAAAAAAATATAAAATATAAAAAAAAACAAAAAACAAAAAACAAAAACAAAAATAAGAAAAAATCACAATAAAAAAAGAAAAAAAAAAAGAAAAAGAAAAAAAAAAGAAAAGAAAAACAAAAAAATAAAAAATAAAAATAAAAAAAATCAAGATTGCAGAGCTGCAGCACTTTTAAAATACTCACTTTTCAGAGTCTTTATAATATTTATCACTAACTGTGTATCTCTTACAGTGAGAGTAACACAGCTGCAATGAGTCATTATCTTAATATCATCTAATAAATAATCAGTATATATCTATACAAATGTGAATAATTAGAAAATATACACTTAAAAAGTGTGACCAGAGTGAACTCTGCTGTCACTTGAATAATATCAAGAGCAGAACACTGAAATCAATGATTCTTCTCATCAATTTCATGAACAAGATGTGTGAAGATAGTCTTGAGAAATATAAGATTCTCTGACTTCTGATAAAAATGAATCTCATGAAGAGACTCTATTTTTATAATATCAGAGACTGAGTGTTATCAAAAAGTGTTACTTTCATATAATGTACATACACTTACTGCAGCAATTCACTCTCTGTATGTATGACTGAGAGTTGCAGCTTTCTCACACTGCACAGCTCTCTCTGAGATGCTGCTGTCAGTTTGTAACTCACACAGTCTCTCAGTTCAGTATATACTGTATGTATACAGCTCTGCATGCTGAGACTGTGTTAATCATTATAATCTGATGTGATACTCACTTTTCACAGACCATGTTTTGTTTAAGAGAGAGAGAAAAGACACAACTGTTATTTTATTGAAAAGAGAATGAATAATTAGTATTATTGAATATAATTTAATTCATCTGTATTTAAAATTTGATTAGTCTATACTCTTCAATTTAAGAGTTTCTAAGAGTGTTTTAATAGTTTTCATACAAGCTTGAACTTAGTGATGAGTTGAAGAAGAAGAGAAAAGAGAGAAGAAAGAAATGAGAATAACTTATCTTTATAATATGAAAACAGAGAATTACTGCAATCATTCTCTCTAGTAACAAAGATCTGTTTTCTGCATGTATTTCTGATATAGATTATATGATAAATGCATACAAAGAATATCAATAGTACATGCATTGAATGAAGATAATGTTGCTATGCAACACTGTAGTCATTTCTGTACATCTCTGAAAGCTGTTAATAGTTTCTTTATCTCTTTATATTTAGTAAGTTAATAATATATTTCAATGCACTCTCTCTTTCATCATTATTATCATTATCATCATCATCATCATTATCATCATTATTATCATCATCATCATTATCATTATCATCATCATTATTATTACTATCACTATCATATCATTACCTGTCTTCATCTCTCTCTCAATACTTATCAAAATCAATTATATCATTCTTCTTCAAATATTCTGCAGTTCTGCAGATTACCAAGGTGTGTGAGTGCTGTCACAGATTGAAGAGAGAGAAGAAGAAGATATTCAAGTGCAGAGAGACAGATTGTAAGACATGTTATAATACCTTGAAGAGACTCTGTAAGAGAGTAGAATAATAATGATTTTAAGTAACACTTCTGATAGATTTAGACTGAACTAAGTATAGAAATAATGTGAATAATACTGTCTGTAAGAGATTGAAAAAGAGAACAGTGAAGAGTTTCATATAGCAGTGATAAGATCAGAAGAAGTTCTGAGAATAATTTGAGATCAAGATGAAGAGAGAGAGAGAGAAGAAGAGTGTTACTGTAAATAAGTAATAGTAGAAGAAGATTAAGAAGATATTGAAGTAAGAGATAAAGAAGTTAAAACTGATAAGTTTTTTATTAAGAGATAACAATTTTTGATAATACTTCTATTCTCTAATTGATTAGCAGGAGCTGATAGAGAAGAAGAGAATTAAGGCCTTGTTCAGATCTCAAATGTACTTCATGATTCAGAATATTAAGAAGACAGCCCTGCTCTCTGAGCATGTCAATCTGCTTGTCACTGAGGTGGAACCTGAGACAGCAGACCAGAAAATGCAGGATTTTGAGATACAGATTGATCTGACTGAGAAGAAGCAGTAAGAACTCTTCTCTGAGAAGGTAGCAGAAAGAGATTTTGAGATGATTATCATCTCAGATAAGGAGAAGAAGAAGAAGAATGAGAATGAGAAGTGAATTATGAAGAATAATAAGAAGAATGAGAAAGAGAAGAAAGATAATAAATAGAAAAAGTTTTTTTCTTTTTATATTAGTTAGTTATAAGTTTATAACTATTAGTTAATAATTAAAATTAATTTTGAGTTTTCAAAAATTATTGTACAAGTTGTAATCAATTATCAATATCAGGAATAATATATATATATATATTCAACTATCATGTCATGCCACTATAATGTATAAGTATCAACATTTTTTCAACATTGATATTTACAATATTAATATATTTTTAATGATATTATCTGATAATGCAATTTGATAATACTCTCTTTCATAATATTAATATATTTCAAGAAATATGACAGAGATTAATCAAGATTGTTTATTTACTTTTATACATCAATGATATTCAATCTGAGTTAGTACTAAAATTATAACTAAGCTAAGAAAGAAGATTATTTACTCTTATATTAATTCTTCTTATACACATCAGTGATCAGTTATTGAAAATAAATTATCATCTTTATTAAATTATTATCATATCTTCTGAATTCACTTCTTTCACTTCTTTTACTTCTATTGAAGATTCACAAACTCTTCAAGAAATCACTGTGAATCACAAAGTCTATGTTGTTTACAATTCAACACAGAATGCTCTTTTTCAATTATAATAAATAATCACTTCATTCTTCACATCTGATTTCAGGTTATAAAATTTATGAAAAACTCAACACAAACACTGAGATGAACTATGAAATAATTATCAACAGATTGTATTATAGATTACTGAAGAGTTATCTCTCTGCTGCAATCACTGCAACTTCATTCAGAAATATTCATTATAAACTAATCATGACTCTGAAGAAATTTCTCAACATCTGAAGTCATCAGAATACAGATAATAAAAGAAAAATAATCAGAAAATTACTACTGAGCTGATAAGTTACTCTATCAGATAATAATTTTTGATAACACTAACTTTCTAATTTGAAGAAAATCATGTGAAAATGATTATATATCAGTACTCTGATTCTATAACTCTCATCTGATAACTTCTGTGAATAATTACTTTGTATGTGTATATCTCTGAATCTTTCTTTTTAATCAATTGAAAACTCTGAATTCTGAACACTTCTTTAAATACTTAATTCAAATCTTCATATTTCATATTAATTCTGTCTTCAGTTCAATCTTGAGATACACTACAAAGTCAATATACAACATCTAGAATCAGAGTTGAAGAATCATTGAAGAGTGTCTCTCACAGTGAATATATAAACTAGTATAAATAATCTTACATTTATAAGAGTTACATGTTATTACATTAATGAGAACTGAACTTATCAAGAGATATTAATTAAATTTGAATTATTAATCAGTAGTCATACTGAGCATTATATAATAGAGATATTAATAACTGTGATTAAAAATAACTATTAAGATATTAGTCTCAGTCTTCTTACAATTATAACTGATAATACTGTGAATAACTACACTATAATGAACAGCTTGAAGTAAAAATTGACTTTGCATTTCTGAAATGATAAACAAGGTCATATTCTCTGCATTGCTTATGTGATTCAACTTGTGATGTAAACACTGATAAAGAATCTTAACATTGAGATGAAGAATAATGAGATAGCTGATTCTTGAGATAAGAATGAAATAAAAGTGATTACTTAAGTAACTTTTATATTCACTTTATAAAAGATAATGTTTTTTGATAACACTTTTTAATATTACTTTTTAATAATGCTTTTTAATAATACTACCGTTAATTTTGAATAGATTGACTAATAATTTAAATATCACAGATTTGAAACATTGCTAATGTAATTTATATCTTCTCTAAATAATAACAATAATTTCATAATATTCAATAAATAAATAAATCAGTCACATCACTGAATATAATACAGAATATTAGAACACAGTGAAGTTCAATATATAAGATAACTGTTCAGACTCTTTGATTGTATTAGATGATTAATCATTGAGTGTAATTATTATTATTATTATTCTTCAATTATAGATGTATGCAGTCAGAGACTATGACATCTACCTGAGAACTTTAGTTCTCAGGGTTTTTCCTATGTCTGTAAAGTTAACTATTATACATTCATCAATTTCAGATATGCAAAATCAAAAAATTCCAGCCCAGAATACAAAAACTGTTTACAAATTACAGTGTTTTAACATCTTTTGATACTTTGAAACCATTTGACAATATCATGACAAAAGAAAAGAGAAAAAGAACACAGTCTCAAAGATAGACACATTAAATAGATAGATAGAAAGAAATTGAAAGGAAAAGATAAAGAAAAAGATAAAGTAAAGAGAGACCATAACAAAACAAATTATTAAAAGAGAGTGTATAGCTGTTTTAACAGACTATATCTGATTGATTTCCTCCTCTTCATATTCAGATAATTCTGAATTTAGCCATTTTCTTGTAGCTGCTTGAGTTTCTGATAGAAAGTCTATTAAGTATTTAATTCCTGTCTCAGTTGAGAATAAGAATCTCATATTTAATTGATTTAGATCATACTTCTCTTTCAATCTGGCTCTGAGACTATTGTATAATGCACAGTGCATTACAATATGCTCAGAATTCTCATTTGTATTGCAGAATGAGCATTCTATTGAGTCAAATCTATCATCAAATCTTTGTATATAAGATTTGAAATAGCCATGTCCTAGTTTCAGCTGTATTATAGATGAGAATATTTTCTTTTTACATTTAATTAAACAAGATTTCCACTTAAGTTTTGTTTCAAATCTTGAATAATGTATACTCTTCTTTTGTTTCTGCCAGCTTTTGTTTCACTTGTCTAAACAAGATTCTTTTATTTTTCTCTTCATAAAAGACCAGGACACAATTTATTGAATAGATCTGCTTAATTCTGCACCCTTTTTTGCAGCTGAATCAGCCAACTCATTGCCATGAATATTCATATGAGCAGGAACCCAGTGCAGATGAATTATCAGCTTTGATGTTCTTCTCTTTTGAATTTTCAAAACAGAGTTTAAGATCAGTTCAAGATTCATTTGACTATTATGCATTGAGTGTAATACTCTGATTGAGAAAAGATTCAGACATTGAAACTTTCTGATATAGAGTGAACTCAGTTGAAATATGTGATTGATTTACTGTTTCAGTTTTATAAGATAATAAAGACAGTCTCAATCACTTGTACATCAATGCTGCAGTCAGTCTGATGAGTGTATAACAGTTTATTTACTCATTTTAAGAAGCAGTTGAATCACTTAAAAAGAAATTCAGTCTGAGATGATGCTATAGTGCAGGCTATTATTACTGTAAGAAATAAACTGATATATTACTACAGCAAAACTGAACAATCTTTTGCAGAGTACTATGCTATAGCAGCTCTACTAGATTTCTTTTATTAAGTTAATATCTACATTTCTCAAGATTGAACAGAGAAGAAATAAGACTCATATATTAAATTAACTCAAGACTACTATAATGTCAACTATTAGAGATTTGAATGAGCAGATGTTAGAGATGTGAAGACAGTGAAATACAATTCTCTAGTAAGTAATAATCTTTGATAACACTTCATATTACATAGAACTATAATACTAACTTTAAAACAGAACTTATATTCATTGATTACAACTGAAAATCAGACAAAACTATATACTTATAAAACTGAATTTAATCACTATCTTCAAGATGATTTAATAAATTTACATATTAAATTAATTCTAGAGTTATAAAAAATTGTTGAGAGTATATATTCAACTGTTACACTGACAATATATGATATTCTGACAATTTCATTAACAGAGATGAGAATGAAGTGAAACTTCAACTCAAGCTGAGATATTTATTACTATCACTGAGAATAATTATAAGAAGAAATAATCAAGAAACTCATGATTGTAAAATATAAAATTATCAGATAGTTTAATATCTCTGATCACAGTATATCAGAGAAGTGTAGTTTTTATAAGAAAGTGAAGAATAAACTTACACAAGAATGTATTTAGTTATTTCATGAGTGTTATCAATAATTGTTATCAAATTCTGATTATATAAGCAATCACTGAATGAACTGAATGAGACTGAATTTGATCTTCAGTCTCAGTCTCATTCTGATTTTGAAAGAATGGCCCCGGTGGCTGAATGGTTAATGCGGCCACCCGGTAGCGCCTTGGCATGGGAAACCAAGGCGCGTGAGTTCGAAACCCGCAGAGAATACATTAAATCCGGAACTCAAGCACCTCAGGTTTCTAATAAATACAGAGGTGTATAAATCACTTCAATAAATTGCTCTATGTTTCTGAGCTAGAAAGTTATTATTGTATGTATCTAATTGTCACTTCTTTGTATTTTTCTATGTTCTTGTTATCTTGATATGATCTTAACATCTGTATTTCCTTCTGTATAATTAACACTTGACCTGTATTTAATATCATACAAGAACTCATTATAAGCTTCGCTTGCATATGAGTATAATGAAAGAATAATAATAATAATAATAATTTAAAAGAATGATCATCTTTCACAGTTTATTCTGAGAAATTACTTTCATTTTACTGTTCTTGAATTAAATCTGATCATTTTTCACATCATTTCTCTCAGAAATGATTCATTTTCAGATTTTTTTAAGACTTGATTCTGATGAGACTCACGTCAAGAAATGTATAAGATCAGACTAAATGAGATCAAATATGAAATTCATAATCTCAGTAATCAGTCTAAATTAATATTCAATCTGAGTTAGTACTAAAATTATAACTAAGCTAAGAAATAAGATTATTTTCTCTTATATTAATTCTTCTTACACACATCAGTAATCAGTTATTAAAAATAAATTATTATCTTTCTTAAATTATTATCATATCTTCTGAATTCATTTCTTTCACTTTTTTTACTTCTATTGAAGATTCATAAACTC